CAGCATCAGACCGCCGTTTAAACAGTGTTTTTAACGGTAAACTCCTTGCTTACTGAAGGTCTTTAACTCAACATGAAACTTTCAACCAATAATGCTGAGCACCCAGGAGCTGAAGGCCCTTCATTCTTATATGATGTCAAGAGGCCAGACCCGGCTGGATCTTGTGTCACTTGGTGACTGGCACGTCCTGTTGCAGCGGGTACCTTCTGACGGCGCCCAAGGTGCTGCAAGCCGGTACCTCTGAGCGGGTATGTCTCACCCTCTTCAACCTAGCCGGGCCGCAGCGGCAGCTGAATCTCGCTTTCCGGGAGCGGGACGTGCCGGCCGACCTGCTGGAGACGCTGGACGAGAGCGACTTCCAGCTCTTCGAGACCGTGACGACGATCCCGGATGATGTGGACGGTGGGTCAAGGAGGAGGGGAGGGGAGGGGAGGGGGAGGGGAGGGGAGGGGAGGGGAGGGGGAGGGGAGGGGAGAAGGGGAGGGAAGGGAATTAATAAAAGTAGGAGAGGAAGTTTGACGTCAACTGAGCCCGGCCGCAACCGGGTGACGATGGGACGGCACTCTGACGAGAACGCTCGCTGGTGACGTACCTCCGCTGAGAACGCTAGAGGACGCCACGCTGCTGTTTTGCGGGCTGGGGTGGCAGGGACAAGCCGGCGGCGGGGTGCGAGGAACCACGAAAACTGCACAACCGGTTGCTACGCTCGCTGGTAACAGCCTTGCACGCTGCTTTGTGCAGCAGCAATCCAGTCAGAACCTTGCTTTCGCTGCGATTTCGGATTCTCATCTTCGGAACTTGGACTTTGTTCTCGGTCACGGGGCATCGCACCGGCATCCGTGAGAAAGTGTTTGGGGAGCCAGAGAGCTTGTGGCGCCACGGCAGCGTGCGGTGTCATTACGCGACACCGGTGAAAAAACTGATGCTCGTGTCGTTGCTGATGTCGCCGAGTCTGATGAATACGTTTAAGGCCCGATTTATTCATCAGTCACCGAAGGGCGTCGTTCCCAACGATGCACATACTCACACCACCATTATCCGAGCTCATTCAAACCACTCAATCGCATGCTATCATCGTTCAAATCACTCAATCACATGCTATCATCATTCAAAGCACTCAATCGCGTGCTATCATCATTCAAAGCACTCAATCACATGCTATCATCATTCAAATCACTCAATCGCCCGCCATCATCATTCGAATCACTCAATCGCCCGCCATCATCATTCAAATCACATTCAAATCGTTGTGACCGGACGTAACGATCCGCGTGGCCTCCACAGCAAACGGCGAATACTGCTTCGACGTGCCCATCCCATCGACGATCGCTGTCAGCAAAGCGGACATGAAGATGGAGCTGAAGGGGGCTGGACTCACGCTCACCGACGAGTCCGAGGTGAGCTGAAGGGGGCTGGACTCACGCTCGCCGACGAGTCCGAGGTGAGCTGAAAGGGGCTGGACTCACGCTCACCGACGAGTCCGAGGTGAGCTGAAAGGGGCTGGACTCACGCTCGCCGACGAGTCCGAGGTGAGCTGATCTGGAGAAGTCGTTGGGGGGGGGGGGGGCGAGGTAAATGGATCCGGACTCCGGAATTGTGTAGGAGTTAGGCACGGCACAAGAGGTCCTTTCAGCACAGGTCAGAACGGTCAAATAATCATTCGGCACCGACAAGAACGACCAGAGAACGCTTTGGCACAGACTGGAAAGGTCGGAGAACCCTTCAGCACAGACTGGAACGTCCTGAGAACACTTTGGCACAGGCGAGAATGGTCAGAGAACCCTTCGGCACTGATGGGTCTTCCATCGTATTCACCTGGGCGCGTTGTCACAGATAAGGCGCCGGTCCAGCGCAGGCAAATACCATATCCAGCACGATAGGCAGAGAATCTCCAACCCAAACGAACAGCACGTCCAGCACAGGCAAAATATCTGTCCAACACAGATAAGAGCGCTACCAACACAACCGAGAAACCAACAAGGCGAGTAATTCTAAGAAGAGATGAGAAGCTCGCAGGGAAGAGACCCCCCCCCCCCCCCCATCTCCCTAACGCAGTCGAAGCAACTTCAGTCTACCCGAAACAAATTAGACGACCCAGCAAGCACGGGGCCGCGTCACCGGGCTGGGGCGCGCAGATAGACGAGCTCCCTGCACTAACCAAAGATGCTCTGAACGGACCATTCTGTGAACAAAGGCCGGTACCGAGCCCGTGCAGTCTGGTCACTCACCTGCCGGCCGATGTGCTCCCGGGCCGGAGCGGCCTTGAACAGCGCGCCGCCTGGCTATTCTGGGGTGGCGCCGACGGTGCTCTCCCGGAATGTCGCATTCATCCCGGAGTGCGTCGCTCCCAGAGTGCCGGAGTTCCGGATCGCCGGCACCAGAGTGTCCTGGAGTGTCGATTCCTCAGTGTTTGCACCCAAGCTCCTTTCCGTAGCTCTTGTCCGAATGACCTTGGTCGGCTACCCCGTCCTGCCCTGCCCTGCCCTGCCCTGCCCTGCCCTGCCCTGTCCCGCCCTGCCCTGCCCTGTCCTGTCCTGTCCTGTCCTGTCCTGTCCTGTCCTGTCCTGTCCTGTCCTGTCCTGTCCTGTCCTGTCTTGACCTGACCTGACCTGCGGGGAAAATCCTCTTGGAACGCGTACCTCGAGGTGCTGACATGAGAGTGCCAGTTCTACAGAGGGGTCTTTGGAAGCGGGGCACCCGGGCATGAAGTGCTCTCCTGATGATATAGTCTCCTGTGACCGGTGGCCTTTTCATTGCTTTGTATGCAGTCTCGCTCCAGGCTGGATTTGCATGTTACTGCCAGTGCACACGGACTACGGCTCGGCTGCCACATGAGGCCGCCTGGGTGTGCCCCACGCACGAGCAGTTCTCCGAAAACCGTGTACGTGAAGTGAATCCCTGATCATCCGATTGGTGAATTGGCTTACATTGGATTGGTGATTGGTGGTTGGTTGGACTGATGCCGGCAAGAGGGCTGCACCAGGGACATCATGGGCATTGTACTGATGTGGTGCGTCCGTCAACTACTGTGTATCAACTGTTCTGTCCCGTGTTAAAGGTTCATTCCATCGACTCGGTAAAGTTACGACAGACAAACTGAGGATTATTTATGTCTAATACGTGTTTGTGCTGTGGTAGGAGAAACTGGAGACTGCAAACGCACAGCACCAAGAGAACACCAGGCGATTTTTGAGCTGTTTATAATGCCTGCCGGGGCGCGGCGGTGCTGAGGAGACAGTGCCCAGTTTTGGTGACATCTGATCGGTGTATGGTGATGTCCCAGGAAGGCGGACGGTGCTGCTGGTGCTCTTACGTCGGCTGCCGATGTTGGTGACGGTGCTGCTGGTGCTCTTACGTCGGCTGCCGATGTTGGTGACGGTGCTGCTGGTGCTCTTACGTCGGCTGCCGATGTTGGTGACGGTGCTGCTTATGCTCTTACGTCGGCTACCGATGTTGGTGACGGTGCTGCTTGTGCTCTTACGTCGGCTGCCGATGTTGGTGACGGTGCTGCTGGTGCTCTTACGTCGGCTGCCGATGTTGGTGACGGTGCTGCTGGTGCTCTTACGTCGGCTGCCGATGTTGGTGACGGTGCTGCTGGTGCTCTTACGTCGGCTGCCGATGTTGGTGACGGTGCTGCTGGGCTCTTACGTCGGCTACCGATGTTGGTGACGGTGCTGCTGGTGCTCTTACGTCGGCTGCCGATGTTGGTGACGGTGCTGCTTGTGCTCTTACGTCGGCTGCCGATGTTGGTGACGGTGCTGCTGGTGCTCTTACGTCGGCTGCCGATGTTGGTGACGGTGCTGCTGGTGCTCTTACGTCGGCTGCCGATGTTGGTGACGGTGCTGCTGGTGCTCTTACGTCGGCTGCCGATGTTGGTGACGGTGCTGCTGGTGCTCTTACGTCGGCTGCCGATGTTGGTGACGGTGCTGCTGGTGCTCTTACGTCGGCTACCGATGTTGGTGACGGTGCTGCTGGTGCTCTTACGTCGGCTGCCGATGTTGGTGACGGTGCTGCTTGTGCTCTTACGTCGGCTGCCGATGTTGGTGAAGGTGCTGCAGGTGCTCTTACGTCGGCTGCCGATGTTGGTGACGGTGCTGCTGGTGCTCTACGTCGGCTGCCGATGTTGGTGATGGTGCTGCTGGTGCTCTTACGTCGGCTGCCGATGTTGGTGACGGTGCTGCTTGTGCTCTTACGTCGGCTGCCGATGTTGGTGACGGTGCTGCTTGTGCTCTTACGTCGGCTACCGATGTTGGTGACGGTGCTGCTTGTGCTCTTACGTCGGCTACCGATGTTGGTGACGGTGCTGCTTGTGCTCTTACGTCGGCTGCCGATGTTGGTGACGGTGCTGCTTGTGCTCTTACGTCGGCTACCGATGTTGGTGACGGTGCTGCTTGTGCTCTTACGTCGGCTGCCGATGTTGGTGACGGTGCTGCTTGTGCTCTTACGTCGGCTACCGATGTTGGTGACGGTGCTGCTGGTGCTCTTACGTCGGCTACCGATGTTGGTGACGGTGCTGCTTGTGCTCTTACGTCGGCTGCCGATGTTGGTGACGGTGCTGCTGGTGCTCGTGCGTTGGCTGCCGATGTTGGTGACGGTGCTGCTGGTTTTCGTGCGTCTGCTGCCGACGTTGGTGACGGTGCTGCTGGTGCTCGTGCGTCGGCTGCCGATGTTGGTGACGGTGCTGCTGGTGCTCTTACGTCTGCTGCCGATGTTGGTGACGGTGTTGTGCCGTGTCGCAGCGCCCTGTCATGTCGCCGTCGCCGGCAGGTGTCTATCAAAAGCGAGGCTCTGCTGACGCTGGTGCAGACGGACAAGCCCAAATACCAGCCAAGTCAGAAGGTGCTGTTCCGGATCATGACCCTGAGTCACGAGCTGACCGCCATCAACAACGACGTGAGTTCCCGATGGGGGGAGGGTATTCCAGTCTGCCAGGCAGCTAAAATCACGTGATCGAGGGAGGTTAGTGCAGTCTGCCAGGCAGCTGGAAGCACATGATCGAGGGAGGTTAGTGCAGTCTGCCAGGCAGCTGGAAGCACATGATCGAGGGAGGTTAGTGCAGTCTGCCAGGCAGCTGGAAGCACGTGATCGAGGGAGTTTAGTGCAGTCTGCCAGGCAGCTGGAAGCACGTGATCGAGGGAGGTTAGTGCAGTCTGCCAGGCGGCTGGAAGCACATGATCGAGGGAGGTTAGTGCAGTCTGCCAGGCAGCTGGAAGCACGTGATCGAGGGAGGTTAGTGCAGTCTGCCAGGCAGCTGGAAACACATGGGAGGGCACGCCACGCCAGTTTGACAACGACAAATTATATAATATAAAAATGGCGTCGGTGTTTGGCCGATTCTGACAATCACTGTCGGCAACCACTCATCACGTTTCGATTATTTCGGTTTGCTCGTCTGGTAGTGAGACTGGTGTATACACTGAGCGGCGCCTGTGACAAGCTGAGCTCTGACTTAAGTGAACGGTTTCTTGATCTTCATGCGCGGATGAAGCGCGTGGTCCGTCGCACTTCCAGGTGACGAGTCTGAGCACCGTTAAAAGCATGTTGCGATTGCAAATCTCAGTTTCACAGCATAATGTTTGCTCTTCTTACAATACCTGCGAGTTATTTTCAGCCGTCAACGACAAATTTTGAGTGTGAATGTACCGTTCTAGATCAGTTGGTCCAGTTGCTTTTTTGATCATGATCTCATTCCGTCGATATTTTCCACCGAAGATATTTGTGAATCTCGGCTGACTGAATACGATTGTTGTTGTAATCGCACTTATAATACCAACGTGAGAGTCTCTGTTACTGATCGATGCTCAGCGGCGTCTCTTCCCGTTGTCAACCCCTCAGATGCTGGGTGCGTCCTAGTTAGTCTCTGAGATGTGGCATTGTGACCATCTGGTGCTGTCGCCTGCCTCCTGGCTAGCTCTTGACATTGGAGTCAGTCTCAGAGCTGAGCTTCTGACCTCCCGACGCCAAGGGCACATGGCGCGCCTGACCCGGTGACCTTGCCGCCATGACGCTGGCCTGCAGCTGGAGGAGGTGTGGATCTCGACGCCCCAGGGCACATGGCGCGCCTGACCCGGTGACCTTGCCGCCATGACGCCGGCCTGCAGCTGGAGGAGGTGTGGATCTCGACGCCAAGGGCACATGGCGCGCCTGACCCCGTGACCTTGCCGCCATGACGCTGGCCTGCAGCTGGAGGAGGTGTGGATCTCGACACCCCAGGGCACGCGCCTCACCCAGTGGAAGGACGTCAAGACCAACACTGGCTTGGTGCAGCTGGAAATGCAGCTCACCGAGGAGCCTCCGCTGGTGAGTGATGGTGGAACTCACCCGCTCACCTTCTCACGGATCACACACCAATCACTGCCGAACCAGCACAGAGCACTCACTCATTGGGGATGTTCGTACCACGGCTCTCGCGCGTGCCTGCCGAACCAACACAGAGCACTCACTCATTGGGGATGTTCGTACCACGGCTCTCGCGCGTGCCTGCCGAACCAACACAGAGCACTCACTCATTGGGGATGTTCGTACCACGGCTCTCGCGCGTGCCTGCCGAACCAACACGGAGCACTCACTCATTGGGGATGTTCGTACCACGGCTCTCGCGCGTGCCTGCCGAACCAACACAGAGCACTCACTCATTGGGGATGTTCGTACCACGGCTCTCGCGCGTGCCTGCCGAACCAACACGGAACACTCACACATTGGGGATGTTCGTACCACGGCTCTCGTGCGTGCCTGGCGAACCAACATAGGGCACTCACTCATTAGGGATATTCGATTCACGGCTCTCGCGCGTGAATCGCTTGGATGCACGCTGAACTCTCGTCGATTCCTGGCTCACTGATGCTGATTCCTGGCTTTTTGAGTCCGCATCGCTCGGTGACTCACTGTGTTCACATTCCTCACTAATTCAACGCGCTCGCTCCACTGAGATTCGGCAAAATAGCACGGTTCCTTCACTTACAGCGACGTGATCGCTGTCACACTAACCGTGCTTCCTCGCCGACTGACTGGGTGCACATCGAGCCCCGCAAGGGTTCGATGTTACCACCTCACAGAGTCTTCCGCTCACATGGTCACCAGTTTACCGCATGACGAACACTCTCGGCTGTTCTGCTGAAGACCTAGACTCGACCCCGATCATTTATGACTGACTGTTCGCGTTATCACGGCGTCTACATCCCGTGCCACACAGCGGTCACAAAAGTGGCCAGCTCGTCCTGATCCAAATCACGGAAGTGGCCAGCTCGTCCTGGTCCAGATCACGAAAGTGACCAGCTCGTCCTGGCCCCAGGGACTCTCGTCACCGAATACCCTATAGCCATGTTGCAACCAGTCCCGACTTTTCACAGACCCGACGTACCAGGGGTATGTGTTGCCAGTCTGCAGGTTATGAACAGTTGGCTGGTCCGTTGACCACTTGCTTGTTTTCCGCACTTTGCCATGCTCGATGAAGCACTCCGCGTCGTTTTGGAGGCAAGCGAGGCTTCTGCGAGTACACCCATCCTGTACCCCTCACATCAGACTGGGGCCGACAGACCTCAATGCCAATGTTGGACTTCGAAGGTGCCGTATTTGCCATGGCACGCGATAACAACGAGGAAAACCGAGGCTAGTACGCTGGACACGCATGGGCTGCGGTGAGGCTGTAGGCCTGCGGTATTTGAGGAACCACACACGCTCAAGGCTGCGGGTAGTCTTGTGTAACTCGTGTCTACAGCCGCTGAAGCCTCGCCGCGTCTGATGCACGCCGTCTAGAAGTACTTCTTGACGTCCACGGAAGCGACGGCCACGGAAGCTTGACGTCCACGGAAGCGACGGCCACGGAAGCTCGCTATTTGGCGTGTTTCAAAAGCCACGTTACTTTTTGCGTATTTCGTTGTCATCGATATGTGCATCAAATGGCTTGATATCCCAGGTGGCCACACTCGATTGTCACACTGATTATATGGCGCTGTTGCGCTTAGGCTAAAGTTCTCTACTTTGGGCGCTAAGGCCAAATTTGGAGGAAAAAATGTCATGAATCTGGGTAGTGCGAAAACCTGGCTGGCAATATCCGGCGGTACCCGCCCCTCGTGTTCCCTCCGTGATGCAGTTAGGACGCTGTGAGAACTAGAGGAGTAAGCTGGGACACTGTGAGAACTAGAGGAGTAAGTTGGGACACTGGGAACTAGTCGAGTAACACTGATCTGACGTATCAGTGGAGCACGCAGTCTACCAGGTGCTGGCTTACGCTTCTAGTCTGTGTGGTAAGGTACGAATGGACACAAGAAGCTGCATAAATAGAAGGATGATTTCTGTCTGCGACCCTCTTGCAAGTACCGAATGGTATCATTTTGCCGCGTGATATCCAACCAGACATACTTGTCTTATGCCGTGCATTAATCAGCAGATTATCACTTTCCATGGCCCAAAGGACCAATCGGTTTTTCCGTCGCCTCTTATCTCCGTTACTCAGGCTAGACCCTGTGTCCGGCAAGCACGCTCATACGCTCTTAATTTTGTACGACCACATCAATGAGACGTGACATAGGTCATCGTAGCTTTTGATCCCGTATCTTTTCTGTTTTGGCGTCCGTTATCTTCACAAACGTGCGTTCCTGGCCGGATGGTACAAATTTGCCGGGATGTTGTCACGCAAGCCATCTACCGGGGGCAATAGCTGGAGACGTAGTGCACTAAAAGATAACTATTGAGAAAGTGGATGGAAAGGAAACTCGCGGACAAAATGGTGATGAGCGGTGAGGCGGGAAAGACGATCCGAATATTTCCGAGCGTACGTTTTTTGTTCTGTTTTTTTTTTTGGTAGGTGCGTTTTCCGCGCGCGGCAAAATGGTGTAGGTCAAATCGTCCTAAAGCATTCACGTGCGCTATTCAGTTGGAGGTGTTCCCTTTCATTAGCTGATGCTGCGATCAAAACGTATCTCGAGCCGCCATTCATATACTCTGTCCGCGTCGTGTAATCAGTTCCTATCACAGCTGCGTCCGGTACGTATATGTGCGTATCATGGGCTGTGAACGCCCTCAAACGCTAATAAACTGTGCAGGGATGGCAAGCCGGCTGCAGCGCAGTTTCGTGACACGCTGGGAAGTACGCTCATCTGACCTGGTGAGGCTGCATATTTAGAGGTCGGATTTGTCACGCAGTTTAAATGGTGGTCGGGCTGCGACTTATTTTAGCGCGTGACACTGTGCACTTTCTAGCACTTCCGTCGCCCGGTTCTGTCCCGTCCGCCATGTCCCGCCTTCGCTCGCTTACCCATGAGGCCATTCTCTCTCTCCCAACGCTGTTAACGCGCCAGGCGGGTTTTTGCGGCGATTGCCTTGTTCCAAAGGTGTCTAATTGGGGCCGCGTTGTCTTAGGACAGTAAAACACTTGTAATAAGCGCTACACCGCTGATTTCAGTCTGATATTCAGCCGGTTTGGCGCTTATCCGCAGCGCTACCGTCGTGGCGTGCACCCTGGTACGTCCTCCATCATCGTCAGGGCACGACCAAGGTCTCCCGCAGCTGTTTATCTTGTTTCCGTCGTCAGAATGCTTGCGGTTGCCATGCCAACAGCTAGTATCCAGGTGCGCGGACCTTGGCTCCCAGCGGGTTACCGTCGGCGGCCGGTGTTCAAGGGCACGCATAGCTGGTGGTAACCCGCTGGGATCTTCCAATCTCGTCGTCTCACCACGCCGATGTTGGAAGGCGAACCAAAAGAGCGGAGTGGGCCAACATGGCCCAAATTATGCAAAAATGGCGCATGTCTGAACCTGGAAGAAGAACTAAGCCACTTCGGCTAAGATAAGTTTTTGCACTTCCTCAAATAAAAGGAGGAAAAACCGAATTTTGCTTTAATATTGCGGGTGCAAGGTTGATATCTAACCCTTCCAAGCCGGGTCAGCCCCTCTCCCCCCGGAGACTGCGCTCTGAACCCGCCCGTGCCTCTGTTTGTGCGTGTAGGCCCACCGCTCCCTGAAGCGGAAGCTAACCTCGCAGTGATACCAGCCGGCGGTGGCAGCGGCAGTCGGCGCGCTTCGAACAACACCCAGGCGCGGTGGTGTGCGGCGTACTGCGGTGACATTGAAAGCCGGCGCCACCGCGCTGCTGTGCCCTTGTCGGGACAAACGCGCGTGGTGCCATCATCGCCCACCCATTGTCAGCCAGGGGTGGGTCCGGTAACTGTTCTGGGCCACCCCGCGCCCCACCATTGTTGGGAGATGGGATGTTGACACGCATCTGGCATCGCCGGTGACATCGACGGTGACATCGCCGGTGACATCGCCGGTGGCGTCGCCGGTGACATCGCCGGTGACATCGCCGGTGGCATTGGTGTGCCTTCCAGTGTAGGGCACGGTGATGTTGGCTGCGTTGGCTTTCATAGATTTACCCGCATTGGTGATTTAGCGTTCGAAATTCGTTGGTCGCCGCCAGGGTCGTCTGTAATTTGCCTCAGAAATTTCGTGTCTTGCTGTGGTTGACCTGAACCCTATCCCGGCTCATTCGTCGTTGGTACCTTAGGCTGTGATGCCTCTGGAACAGAACAATGGTACTGCACGGTTCGAGCAGTGGGGAGGACCGGCTGCGGTCCGCGCTGCAGGGAGGACCGGCTGCGGTCCGCGCTGCAGGGAGGACCGGCTGCGGTTCGCGCTGTAGGGAGGACCGGCTATTTTTCGTCTTTTGTAAGGGAACACGGTGCACGTTGTCAGGTCCGTTTCATGCAGTGCTAGCGACTGTATTGGCCACCTTAGCGCTCAAAAGCCGTGGCACAAATGGGATTCGAACCCGCGCTCCCACGTGGAAGTCCCACGTGCTAACCACTCAGCCACGACGCCTTCCCACGTCTCCAAGAAAACTGGATACTAGCCTGGACATTAGTCCACTTAAATTAGATTGAAACTGCACTAGATTCCCATCCCCCTCCACTAATCGACGCAAAAGTCCTGTGGCTGGCAAGATAACCTCAGGCGTGGGTTGTCATATTCATCAACAGACGAACACAAATACTGCCGCTGAACATTCCCTCACGTTCGAAAGCGCGATTCAATTCAGAGCGTGTGTTCGCTGTTATGCGACAGGCAGCCAAGATTCGCCGGATAGCCTGTCTTCTTTGTTTACTGAAATGTATTTGGGCGTCCGAGGCCTGGGAAAACCTACCATGCTTTGTTTTCGTAGAAGTCGCACACGGCCATGAATATGCTGACAGGTGTTATCTTTGTCGGAAGCCAGACGCTTGCGAATGGCGGACCAGGCAAACATGAGCGAGGTTCATTGACTTTTCAAGGCGTGCGTATCGAAAGGCTATATGGCACGTGATCAGTAAGATGCGGGAAATACTTTTGGCATTTCCTGAAAACGAAGCGAGCTTTCCTGAGTTCGCCAATCTTGGCTCACAATTACATTAATGGCCAAAAGCAAACTATGATCTTGGGATCAATGTGGGAACAGGTGGAGGGATTCGTTACAGAGAAAATGTTAGAAACTTCAAAGATGAGCGCAGTTCAGGAAACTCATATCAATGGCTCCCAGCAATGCAGTGCAATGTCCGACCGTGCAGGGCTCATGCAACCTTTTTTTGTACTGTTCACTTATTATTAGACCAGTCTCGTCCGATTTAAATGGTAAAACCTATTTGCTCAAAAGTCTTCTGAAAATCTCGGAATTATGCATTTGAAGTACCCGCTCCGGTGGCAGAAATACCGTTGAATTGCGACGGAACGCTATGACACACATTGGAACATGATGAAAATAATACTTTTCAGCTGCCTTGCTTTTTTCCCTGTGTGTGCCCTGTTCTGTTTGCGATACACTTATTGCAAACATGCTGGTGCAGTAATTACTGTGAAAGCTTGGAGCATTTTCCGTAGGAAGACTATATACAAAAATGAGACCATTATCACGCAAAATCAACGAAACATCGTGCTATGGCTTTGATCTCTCCCCTGTTCTTCTAGGTGCAGTGGCTCTTTTCGAAACACGCTCTAGCGTTAGGAAACAGGCCATCGCATGGTCTCAAGGTGACGTGCTGGCTCAGACCTCAACCAATGATCTCTCCGTAATTGTTCAGACCTCAACCAATGATCTTTCTGTAATTGTTCAGAACTCAACCAATGATCTCTCCGTAATTGTTCAGACCTCAACCAATGATCTCTCCGTAATTTTTCAGACCTCAACCAATGATCTCTCCGTAATTGTTCAGACCTCAACCAATGATTTCTCCGTAGTTGTTGCTGGCCGCCGGCTGTGCCAATCAGAAACGTTTATCTATACTGATTTCATTTCAACCGGTAGAGGCGTCACCTTTAAGCTGGCGGGCCCGCAGTGCGCGGGTTGAAATAGCTCACTAGTTGATTTTTGTAAGTAAAAAAACGGTACCTATAGTTCGTAACAGCTGGCAGCTGGTTGGTAACGTGATAGCTGACCGGTGACAGTGGTCACTGGTGACAGTGGGGACCGGTGGTGACCGTCCGGCTAGCACCGCCAGCCCCATTCTTTCATTATCACTGTCGCCCATTAGTCTTCAACTGTTATTCACTAGTCGGCAAGCTGCAGCCACCATTGCCGGCCACATTTTACCAGTCATCATCACCACTCTCCAACCACGGGCATTACTCACCGTTAGCATCGTCCAGTCACCACTCGCGTCACCGTCAACCCGTTACCAGCCCCGCTTCATCAGTCACCACTCGCGTCACCGTCAACCCGTCACCAGCCCCGCTTCATCAGTCACCACTCACGCCACCGTCAACCCGTCACCAGCCCTGCTTCATCAGTCACCTCTCACGCCACCGTCAACCCGTCACCAGCCCTGCTTCATCAGTCACCACTCACGCCACCGTCAACCCGTCACCAGCCCCGCTTCATCAGTCACCACTCACGCCACCGTCAACCCGTCACCAGTCCTGCTTCATCAGTCACCACTCACGCCACCGTCAACCCGTCACCAGCCCCGCTTCATCAGTCACCAGAAAGCGGCCACAGGTAGTCGCCAGCATCTCTACGAGTCACGGTCACGAGTCAAGATGAGTCGTGACGGTGGGCGAGTGGCCACGGCAGTCGTGACGGTGGGCGAGTGGCCACGGCAGTCGGCCGCTAGCTGTGGTCGGCCGTTGCTGTCGCGAAGCTCGCCTTGCCACTCTCTGCAGCCACGGCCCGTGCTCTTATCGCGGGTCAAAACCTGCCGAAGCAGAGCGTCAAGGTCGCCGCGAGGCTTTTTGCCCGCGCCGCGGCCACCAGGTTACCAAACGCCTCCACTCGCTCGCGCTCGCGCCCAGTTCATTATCTGCGGAATATCCCGCGTGAGAGAGGTAGGCCAATAGCCGTGCCCGACGTCAGACCGCGCAGTGGACGGTTTGGGAGGTGAGGGTACTGTTCCGGCTGGAATGATCGGAAGGCAGCGATAATGAGTGCCCCCTTGGGGACCTGGTTTTGCACTGACAGATGCGGCACGGATGCCGAACTGCGGGGCAAGCGTGCTGGCTGGCTTACGACAGTCATTTCGTCACTTGATTGGTACTAGTTCCTGGTTTACGTAGGTTCTAGGCGTTCACAGGAGCCCTGGAAAGCTTTTTAATTATGGGACACCTCGCTTTATAAAAGGGCAATAAGTGTAAAGTAAGCGAAAAGCAAAATCGTTGCTTTGTGTAGGCCACTGCAGATGTGGCGCTAGATGAATATGCTGGAAGAGTTGGAGGAGGTTCACAAAACACCAGCAGCCACATGCTGTCGAATGCCAGCGGGGATCCTGTGTCCAGAAGTGACGTCCCGACATTCGCCCCAGGCGAAACGAGTCCACAGGGCAAACGTGGACCACGTACACGCGGCAACCACATGGCTGGTAATGCTGCTCGCTCCCACCCAAGTGGCAGAATTTGCAGCGAAGTAACCGTCGTGCAGGGATGTGCCACTCCCCGCAGCCTCCGGGCTTCGTGACTTGACTTCGTGACTTTGTGGCTTCGTGACGAGACAGGCCGAACCCCTACGCCGACTCTCCGCAATCAACCGCCGCGATGTTGGCGGGGAGGCAAGCTCATCTCGCCCCACGCGTCTCCGTGTGTCTCCTTGTGTCTCCGTGTGTCTCCTTGCGTCTCCCTACCTTTTCCTGCGTCTCTCTGCGTCTCCGCATGTGTCCCTGTGAGCTCCGGTGTCCGCTGGGAGTGCAATGTTAGGGTTTTCGCTAAGACGAACATGACAAAGGCATACCCGCACTCCGCGCTCCCTGCAGGGCACCTGGACCATCCACGTCAAGACGCCGCAGGAGGTGGTGTCCAAACGCTTCACGGTGGAGGAGTACGTGCTGCCCACCTTCGAGGTCAAGATTGAGGCCCCGTCTAAGATCGAGTCGGACGAGCGCACCGTCACGGCTCGCGTCTGCGCCACGTGAGTCGCGCCTGCGCCAGCTCTGGCGCAGGACCGCCAGTGGTGCGTGCTGAGGGCCGCGCAGCTGTCCCTCTGCACCGTTAAACATGGTTGCACGGGTGCGCGAGACGAAAGAGCTAGCAACAATAATGAAAACGGCGAACGTATGTATGCCAGGTCGGCTCGGGGGAGGGGTAGGAGGAGGGGTGGAAGCACACAGTGACCACGCACTAAACAGGTCAAGGCACGGTCTCGGGGCGGTGTAGGCACTGCAGCAGCCGCACAATGGTCGGTGGTTTCGGATGCCATGCGCGTGCTAACCGCAAGGAGAGTGTGCACAGCGAGGACCCCTTCCTTTCGCTCTCTCTCTCTCTCTCTCTCTCTCTCTCTCTCTCATCTTCGATCTCTCTCTCTCTCATCTCTGCTCTGAATCTCTCTCTCGCCCTCTCCTCTCTCTCTCTCCTCCTCTCTATCTCTCTCTCTCTCTCGTCGCTTCTCTCTCCCTCTCTCTCTCTCTCATATCCTCTCTCTCTCTTCCTCCTCCTCCCTCGTCCCTCTCTCCATCTCCTCCACACTTCTCCTCTCTTCTCCTCTCTCTCTCTCTCTCTCTCTCTCTCTCTCTCTCTCCATTCTCATCCTTCCTCTCTAGCCAACCTTGCCTATCTTTTCTCTTCAATCTCTTGCTGACCCAATCATCTTACCTCTATCTGCAGTTAATGGCGGTTCAAAATTTTGCAGAAATCACTTGGAATGAATTTTGCTTTGTTTTAGCTTGTTGCAACTAACCATCTGGAGCAAACGCTCTGGCTTCTAATTTAGTCACATTTATATTCGATATTGATGTGTGGGATGAGAGCTATGACATTCAAGTCCATCCAGATTCAATTAATTTCACACAATCGGAGTGAGGTGCGGAGTAGACTCCGTTTCGTGAACGTCAGATGGAGCCTGAGTGGAAACAGAATCTGCATGGAGAGTTTTGACAGAGCAGCCCGTTACTGCGCTGTGAGCAGTAACGTGTGACCTTACACGCGCCGGCTCTGCCCGATCTCCCTTGGATCTCCTGTGGCATGAGTGAGAGCTGGAGTCGGGCACAGGTCAGTTGCCAGGAGCCTGCCAGGTGGCCGACCGACCGCAGGACTCAGCAGCCGCCGGGCCTACCGACCCCCACATCACCAGCTGCCACCTCTCCCAGTCACATTGCGGGTCCCCCCCCCCCCCCCCTCCCCGGCGATCGTCCCATTGTTCCTGGTCGACGTACTTCCGTCCTTTGGGGGAGGGGAGACGAGGGGGAGGGCTTCGTCAGTGCGCAGCCGCGCTGGGAACCCACGCCACACCGTGGGCCGAGGGGGAGGGGCTGGGGCGGGGCTCCGGCGCGCCTCGCTGCACTGCGGTGTGACGCCGCGGGGGTGACGTCACGGCAAAGTGGAGCGGCGCAGTAGCGTACGGTAGCGGACGCTTCACGCTGCGACATTGACGTCATCACACATATGTGAAACGTTGTGGGCCTTTGGGCGGGTCTTGATCCCCAGCCTCCATTTCCACCTCGCTTCAGCTCAATGCTGGCCAGTTCTCCTTTGATATCTCATCAGAATTATTGCGAATTCCCTCGACCAACACACAACACAAACCTACAAACTGTAGAGACAACCTGGCCGTGGGCCGTTCTCCACCCTTGTGTAGTGCTGAGTGCCTGATCAGCTACCGCAGGCGACCGACGGCCGCTTCGGCTCAGCGTCGCCGCGGTCGCGGTCAGCACACCCGACTCGGGCGGCAGGGGGAGCCCCGGCTCGCCCGCGGACGGGCGTCCACTAGCGGGGCCGGTATTGCGACAGCCTGGGGCAGCCTGACTGCGCCGGTACCTGCCCTCCCCCCCCCCCCCCCCCCTCCACAGTGCCGCCGGTGAAAGGGAGGACGCGGCCGGCGCGGGGGGAGGGGAGGGGCTGGCGTCTGTCTTGCCAGCCAGCGCGGCGATTTCTGGGGATGAGTGACCGGCTGCGGCCGGTGTGCCGACGGCCGGGCAGCGCCGGCGCTCACGTGCCGACGGCCTGGCGGCGCCGGCGCTCACGTGCCGACGGCCGGGCGGCGCCGGCGCTCACGTGCCGACGGCCGGGCGGCGCCGGCGCTCACGTGCCGACAGCCTGGCGGCGCCGGCTCTCACGTGCCGACGGTCGCGCGGCGCCGGCTCTCACGTGCCGACGGTCGGGCGGCGCCGGCTCTCACGTGCCGACGGTCGGGCGGCGCCGGCTCTCACGTGCCGACAGCCTGGCAGCGCCGGCGCTCACGTGCCGACGGCCTGGCGGCGCCGGCTCTCACGTGCCGACGGTCGGGCGGCGCCGACTCTCACGTGCCGACGGTCGGGCGGCGCCGGCTCTCACCCGGCTCTCACGTGCCGACGGCCTGGCGGCGCCGGCTCTCACGTGCCGACGGTCGCGCGACGCCGGCTCATGTGCCGACGCGCACCGGCACCGCTGCTGTCGCCGCTCAGCCCCTGCGCGGAAAGTTATTGATTAGAGGAAACATTTCACATGTGAAGATATTGAGGCAAGCATCATATTGATGAAACAAGCTCATTTCTAACTATTGGTATACTTTTTAATCTAATTTATTATTTTATTAAATTTACTTCATTATCTTTTCAGTATATCTATTAATTATATATCTAATTTAATAAATTTAAACTAATTGGTATACTGAGTAGATATCCTCCACGATGCGCCTGGGTTTGATCACGTTATCGTGCCGTGCACTACACTGATTACGAACCAGTTGACGGACGTTATATCTGGAAATGGAGTTCACGAACGCCAAACATAAACGCCTCGACAACAACATCTTTTCCTGGCCCTGGTCGCCGCATGGCTTATGGAATGCCAGGATTTTAATGATGTTATTATGGCGTCATGGATGTCAAGGTGACTGAAACTTTCTCCGATGCACATTTTCGCCGGCGTGCAGCTCAGAAACTAGAGGCGCTTAGGTCCTAAGAAGGGCGGGATTGTGAACAGCACCAAAAGTCCTCAAGATGGCTATTTCGGTTCAAAACCCCAAACAGATGTGGAACACTCCCTTTAAGTCACGAAATGTTAGAGCTGGCTTTGATGGGTATTACCTGACCTTCAGCTGACCTTCAGGGTGATTGGGACACTCTTGACGACTCATAAGTCCCTGGAGAGTACCACTGGAACCTGGCACTAAGTAAGTGAGCTCAACCAGCGTTGATCCGTTTCGACTCAGCTTCTGGAAGACCTGCCCATTATCCGAGCCGGTTTTGTGTGGAGCATAACGGGTTGTGAACATTGAGGCCTGCACAGCTTACCTTCAGCTGAACGCACCTCCGCCTTGGTTTGCCCTCGGGAGAAGGGTATCACAGGGGTCGTGGAAGGGGCCGACGAGATGCGCCGGGGTTCGGACCCACTTGTGACAGCCGCATTCGCTGCATCCGTCTCCATTCATCCTCTGACGGACAGCACCGTAGTTGTTTTGTTCTGAAAGATTGCAGTCCGTGGGGCTGTGGCCGGCGTGACGCAGCTCAGAACCGACCTGTGGGGCTCAGCCATTGACGGTGGCCACAGCGTGGCAGCGCGTCTCACACCTTTTTGTTCAAGCTTTATTCGCCATCGTAATGGTCTTTTCTGGCGGTGATGCAGTTCATGACCGCGGAGGAGTTCCTTGCTTCACGGATGTGCGCCGAGCCTCAAGATTTTCTGGCTCGTCGTCATTAAGAAATAGTTAATTATTTGAAATACACTTTGCCAACGCAACGTGCACTGAGGATTTAGGTCGTTCAGATCGTTTTTTTCTGTGCCAAGCAGATCAGCTATGATGCAGCGAAATAATAGCGTTCAAATACCACGCCAAAGAAAGCAGCCCACTGCGTGCGTTCTTTGCAAGGCAACCACAATGGGATGGACCTACATTTAGGCCGACGATAGAGGTATAATGCGGTTCCAAAATCATCGACGCTTTAAATTACAAGATGTGGAAATAAACAAGTGGAAGTAAGGATGCTTAAAATAGACTGCCGGCGCGCAGTATGGCAGGTATGTCCGAAAATTATTGGAGCGTTATACTGGTGTCCTTCACACAATCCTTGCGGTCTGGCAGGTAGAGATGTAGGCCCCCGCTCTTCGTGCTCATCGGTCGGGCATGCCAGTTTAAGGCACCTTAAGGTACCAGGTTTAAGGTACCTGGGTATGGGGCACTCTAGAGCTTGTCTAAATATTTGTTTTGTAGAAACCTGGAATAAAATGTTTATATATACATATACATATATACATACATACATATATATATATATATATATATATATATATATATATACATCATAGCCCTCCCAAAATTGGTAATTCAAATGAAACAACGTGTAGTTTCACAGCTTACCTCGTCTTGTTTTCTTAAATGCACTGGCGGCTGCGCTGCGAGCACTGCCTCCGTTCGCAGACATGACACTTGTCTGCGAGCGTCCGTTCTGGCAACGTGCCCCGTGATCGCGACACTCGCGAATCAATCATTCGAGATGCTTCAGGGACACAAGAGCGCACCAGGCTTGATGCGAAACACCCTGGACAAGCCTGGGCTTCGCTGATGGCGTAGTTGAGTGGGATGAACCGTCATCTTGTATTGTGGTCGGCTATGGGTCAGTCATAGTAAAATTGAGCAGCCCTTTGAGCGTCATAGGCCGCTCTCTGCACGTTGGATGTGTGCTATCTCCGCTGGAGGCATAACACACAGAGTTGCGTCATGCACTCAGCACTTGACTCGCTGCCCAATTTACCAGCCCTGTGCTCGCCATGATCCGTGTTCCACACCAGCTCTGTGCTCGCCATGCTCGCCTGTGTGCTCGCGCATTAGATCCGGCACGATCCGTCTTCCGCGCCAGCTCTGCGCTCGCCATGATCCGTGTTCCGCACCAGTTCTGTGCTCGCCATGATCCGTGTTCCGCACCAGCTCTATGCTCGCCGTGATCCGTGTTCCGCATCAGCTCTGTGCTCGCCGTGATCCGTGTTCCCTATTGGCATGGCTGGCCCGACTCTAGCTTCTTTGCTCTGCACGCTCTCCTCCGCTTCGAACGCACAGTGCCTGTTTGGTTCGCTGCTCAACACCCCCGTTCCATGCTCACTCTCATCACGAGCGCCTTGTTCTCCGCTCGTTTACCTTGTTTCATGATCACCGGGTTTTCCGCTCACTGTTCACCATGTCCCGTTCCATCGTGTCTGCCACGTTCTCAGTTATCCATGTTCTCAACGTCCACCACTCAATCTTTCCACTATGCTTCCCGTTCACCGTGTTCACCATGCGCACTCTTCACTAGTTACACGTTCGGCAAGCCACTGGTGGGCGCCAACATCACCATCAACGCCACGTCCAGCGTGTCCTCCTTCCAACGGGAACGGAACCCGGAGCTGCTCAAGAACATCTCCGACTATCAGCTTAGTGACGAGAAGGGCTGCGCAGTCTTCGATCTGCTGGTCAGCAAGCTGGGCATCGGGATCCCCAGGATCGGGAGCGGCAATTCGGTGAGGGTTACGTCGACGTCATCCATGACGTCATCCGTGGCATCACCAGCCGGGTGACCGGAAGTGTGACGGCGCAGCACGTCAGCTTCCGTGAGGAGTTACTCGCTGGCTTGCGGACGGCACGCTTGTTACAGTAGGTTCAGCTGGCTGGTGGACGACACGCTTATTACAGTAAGTTTGGCCCGAACTGTGCGAAAGCGCGCGCGGCGCGGCGCTATGCCGAGCAATGTGTGCTCACGTCCGGTGAGGAGGGCAATCGACTGGGGAGCGCCGGGGACCGTGGTCCGTGTGGCGAACACCATGGAGAGCATGTGCTCACGTCTGGTAAGGGAGTGTGACTGTTTGGTACTACGGCCGTAGTTCATCTGAGCGGCGGCACGCGGAGTAGAGTAGTGCAGCGCCCAAGGCGGTGATTGCTTACCCACACACGCTTCATTTTGCACACCTGCGCGCGTGTTAACAGTGTGTGCTAACACGCTGTTCCTCCGTCTCTACTAGAGGATTTGGGGGAGGGGGGCACGGGAGCCCCTCTTTCATGGCATACCGGTGGATGAAACAAGCTAGTTGGGGTGTTTCCGCCCATCTGGTGTGCGTGGTTGACCGTAAGCACCAGCCGTGCTAAGGTTAGTGATATATAAAGCGCAGCAGACGTTGCCAGTCGCAGCCTCCGATAGCGCTTCATCCAATAAAATGATGAACATTTCCTGGAAGGACTCGCCTGCTATGCTACAGCAACCACACGGTAAGGATTTATTACAGAGGCTTGCTTGCCATGTTGTTCATGGTGGTCCGTCCTCTCTCCACGTATACCCTGTTATCGGGCACATACGAACGCAAATGTATACCCTGTTATCGGGCACATCCGAACGCAAATGTATACCCTGTTATCGGGCACATCCGAACGCAAATGTATACCCTGTTATCGGGCACTTACGAACGCAAATGTATACCCTGTTATCGGGCACATCCGAAACGCAAACGTGTACCCTGTTATCGGGCACGTACGAACGCAAATGTATACCCTGTTATCGGGCACATACGAACGCAAATGCAAACCCTGTTTTCGGGCACATACGAACGCAAATGTATACCCTGGTATCGGGCGCATACGAACGCAAATGTATACCCTGTTATCGGGCACATACGAACGCAAATGCCGTCTACACTGCTCGGGATTTCTCGTTTCTGCCATGCTTAGCCTGTTCAGCCTTTTCGGCCTGCTTATCCTGCTCCGTTCGGCAGATAACCGTGAAAGTCCTGGTTGAAGAGAAAGGCACGGGCCTGACGCAGGCGGCGAGCAAGGGCATCAACCAGAAGTTCAGGTTCATCAGTCTGCAGCGGAAAGACAAGATCCAGTCGTACCTGAAGCCCAACCTGCCCTACTATGGACGAGTGAGTCACGCCGTGATGCATTACAACACGCAGACCAAGCTGATGTTGAGGGGAAGAGCATTTGCTTCCCCCTTCCCCTTAGACCCGCGTTTTTCTCTTTTAATACCGTAGGCGCTGCTTCGGTTTTCCTATGTGAGTGGTGGCTGAGCCTCCCCCGCCGTTAAGGGTGGGTGAGCCCTTGGGTGAGGCCCAACCGTCCGTGGCTGCTACGGATGCGCCAGTCTTGGTTGCCATAGCAGTGTGTGCTCTGCAATGTAGCGCATGGAACATCCATCGTATAAGTTGGAGCGTACTGGGATGGAACCCACGCTGGCTGTCGTCTACAGAGCACGATCCACGTGCACTCAAAAGAAAAAAGCGTGTGCCGCCCACTTCATCAGGGGGTATGCAGAGCGTATTATCATCGGGGCGTATGCAGGAGCGTAGTATCATCAGGGGCATATGCAAGAATTCTCCGTGGGCACAATCAAATAAAAGTATGAAATGGGCGAGATTTCTTGCATGGTGTAAAACGACATCGTGTGTGGCCGATCTGGCGTTTGGTTTGTCTTGTGTGTTTCAAACTTTTAATAGCCAGCGTGCTCTCACGCACGTATAAATGCATGCGATCAGCTTGGCATAAAAGACATAGTCCCGGAAGCCTTGATGTGCATCGGCGCCCGACATGTGGAGGTACTCCCAAACGCATGCCGTCGCAGCTCAGCCGGAGATGAGATCGATGTGTGTATGACACTGCCCTGGCGCCTGAGGCTGGCATGTGTATGACATTGCCTTGTAGCCCGTTTGATCTGAGTATTTTCGAAAGAACGCTGGCAAATGGTGTTTGCATCCCAGAAATTACCAACTTCAATACGTCACTTCACTGCTCCCTTTTGTGCATCACATGTCTTTGTATCCCCCATTTCAATTTTTAAAGCTCATTTTGCGTTTTCTTTCTGAATGCAACCCATGTACCTAAGGCCGTTACTCGACATGCGCTTCGGTACTTCGAAACGGTAGGGTTATTGGTATACTGCAGATAATAGAATGCCACACGATCTTCACTGCGTTCTGAGTCGTCTCGTGTCGACGCTGTCGCGTCAGTGGTACTCTTCCCACACTGGTGGGCCAGTGGGACCACACTGGTGAGCCAGTGGGACCACACTGGTGGGCTAGTGGGACCACACTGGTGGGCCAGTGGGACCACACTGGTGGGCCAGTGGGACGACACTGGTGGGTCAGTGGGACCACACTGGTGGGCCAGTGGGACCACACTGGTTGGCCAGTGGGATCACACTGGTGGGCCAGTGGGACCGCTCTGGCTCCATGAGCCATCTGAGGGCTTCGCTCTGCCAGTGCGCCCCGGCATCTCCACTGTGCTGTTTCAGTTCGAGCTGAAGCGCGGGGACGACACTCCAGCCGTCAATGAAACCGTCGAGGTGTGCTACACGGCAACTTACAAGGACAGAGCGGCCAGGTGAGAGGATCGGACAGAACTGCCGTGTGTCAGGTGGGCTCGCGAGGCTGACAAGCCGCAGCACGGCACGCACCGAGTCCGTCGCAAACGCGTCAGGCGGCGGTGGTTGACAGCAAGCTCCAGGACCTCGGGTCAACCTCGGGTCAGGACCTCGGGTCAACTGCCGCGTCGGGCTGGGACGGGGGCCACGGCTGTGGGCTGCAGCTGCAGGAGTTTTCATGGCGTTATCAGCTGACGCGGCTAACGGGGGCCATAACATAGTGGGGGACCGCCGCTGGGTGGGGATTCGTCAGATGTACCGAAGGCGCTAAGCTGTGCACTTCTGAATCTTCGGAGCAGGGCTGTACGCATTTCACTTCATCACGTAATCGTTTGGCCTCACACAAATCGCTTACACGATCTTTGGCCTCACGCGAAATCAACTCGGGTCAAATGTGGCCGTTAATTGCGGAGGGAGGGGGAAGTGCACTTTGCGCGCGAGCATTGGCGCTGTTATGAAGCAGCCGTTTCCGTTTTTCAGCTCCAGTGACAAAAGCCCCGAAGCAGCTTCCCAAAGATATCCTCTACAAGGCCGCTTCCAAGGTGGGTAGGCAACAGCGGAGGCGAATACCACTCTATTAGTCGGCGGTTGAAGTGGCAGTGCTTGTTCAACTTTGCGTGCATCAAAGCTCCGCCCAAGCCTTCACTGAGCTTCTCTAACTGGTGCTAGCCTGGCGTCCATTGGTCTTAGTTTGGCATCTTTGTCAGGTCATTAGCCTTAACCGGACATGTTGGTCGGGTCCTTGGCCTTAACTTAACCCGATATGTTTGTGTGACCCTTAGCCTTAGCCGACTCGTTTGCGATCTATGGCTCAGTGTACTGCAAACAGGAACAATAGCTATGACCATGTTCAAGTCTATATCAGACATTTTCTGAGGTCGGCGAAACTTGTGCCCGTGCACTGGAGCATGCACGACAAGGTAGAGTCAATTTTAAACCCTGTCACCGTTCGCGGTACCGAACAAACCCTTCTGATCGGTCACGTGACTCGAAGCGATCTCGCGTCACGCACCGTGTCTTCGTCTTACACCTGGCGGCTTCCCATTTCCTTGCAACCTTGGCGGACGCCAATGCACTTCGCATCACTACAACCACATAACTGGCAATCCCTCTCCCGGGACCCATCGTGACCCCTCGTGACCTCTCGTGACTCCTCGTGACTCCTCGTGACCACTCGTGACTCCTCTTGACCGCTCGTGACCCCTCGTGACCCCTCGTGCCCCTTCGTGACCCTTCGTGCCCCTTCGTGACCCCTCGTGCCCCATCTCTCCGGCTGTAACCTCTCGCGAACCTTCCGTGCCCAGTTCTCTGAGAAGATAGACGCTGAGTTCGGCTACACGCCGCTGATCTGGGAGACGGAGTCGCCCAAACGCCGATCCACCAAAAAACAGTGTCGTGAATATCTCACGAACGAAGATGGCCACATTGTCTACTTCATCCCCGCGCAAGCCGAGGACATCGACAGCCTCGACCTCGAGGTAAGCCGTCGGAATACACCACAAAGCACTACGTCGCGCCGGGACGCACTGTTTTCCAACTACGCTGCGCCGGGAAACACTGTTTTCTACCACGCTGCGCCGGGAAGAACTGTCTTCTACCACGTTGAGCCGGAGCGCACTGTTTTCTACCACGTTGAGTCGGGACGCACTGTTTTCCACTACATCGCACGGCGTTGCGTCGCGTGCCTCCCATGGCACGGCGTTGCGCCGCGTGCCACCCATCGCGGCCTGGGTGGGGCGTCGCGTGCCGCCCATCGCGGACTGGGTGAAGCGCCGTGTGCCACCCATGGCGGCCTGGGTGGACGTATGTTATTCAAACTCGTTCAACGGCTCTGCACGATGCTGCACGGGCTTCACCAGCTAGGGGCCACTGTGCCGTGCTGGGTGGTATTCAGGCACGTCCAAATACAAGCGCATGGTCCATGGCAAAATACGAGCCCATAATATACCACCCATTCCAGCACCAAGACAGCAACTTGTCGGCATTGAACTGTCGTGCCCCACAGGTAGTATCGTAAGCAATGGCCGCCTCGCCCTGGATACCGGGCTGTCACTGACATTGGTTTGTCCTCACGTATAGTGGTCTCGAAGTTAGAAACCGCAGTTGCCCGCGTGGGTGCGAAATGGAAGTCCAGGACGTTCACAGACATGCGAGCATGCCAGTGATACACTGGTGCACGGGTATACTCGTAATTCTAGGGTACGAGTACAGGAGCATTGCTAGCACACGAGGATACGAAAAGTGATGTCCCTA